TAGCATGTTACTGCTTTCCGTTAATCCTATTCTGATGCATAGCCTGTCATTGCTGCTACAGTCATTGATACCTTACCCGCAATCCTAAATGCTTAGTATAGGATGCTAGTGTTCCATCAGTGGCCCTACACTCTTGTCTGTCTGCCATGCTATACTACTGGGCTGTGATCACTTCGGGAGGTGATCACGGGCATATACTATATACTTTACACTGTTACATTACTGGCGATACTGTTTGGAGATGGGGGCTGAAGGGGCAGGTGGCTCCATCCAGGTAGTGGTGGGCCTGAGTTCCCGACGGCCCCCGACTGTTACTTTGTGGCGGAGCGACAGGGCAGGTTGAGACCACCTAGGAGACAGGTGGGCCTGGCCTTGTTCGGCATTCGCGAATACTTAACACGCTTAACGAGATCTTGGTATTTGATCTGAGTCTGGCTACGAGCCTATACGCACTAACCATCTATGTGGGAGTAGTTATGGGTATCCCGACGTCGTGGTATCAGCCGAAGCACTTCGTGACGTCAGCGACTGAGCGGCGCGCGCCGGGTTGGACTGCGTTAATGCAACTTCCTTTGTAATGGAGGTTGCTAGGTCTGCTCACCGGCCGCGTACGCAACGTGCAGGTGTGCTCAGGGCGATGGGCCCAGACCCCTGCGCGCTTAGGTTTAGACCGGCGTGCTGGCCTCTCCGTTGAGCCTAGGTGGGGCTGCGACGTGTTGATCTTCCGAGGCCGTGCATGACCCAGGAAAGTGTGTCCGGCCAAATGGGATCGAGCGTGTTGGGTTATGTGGTGCACCCCTGCAGGGAAGTTAATCTATTTGAATAGCCGTGATCTTCGGTAACAGGACGACTTGGAGTTGTACCTTGACCTTATGACAACTAGAACCGGATACTTAATAAAACACACCCTTCCAAGTGCCAGATACAACCCGGTGATTGCTCTCTAACAGCGTGACGAGGGGAGGATCGCCGGGTAGGTTTATGCTATGCGATGCTGCTTGGAGATGCTACTTGGAGATGCTACTTGGAGGACTTCAATCTACTTTCTTCTACATGCTGCAAGACGAAGGTGACCAGAAGCGTAGTCTTCGACAGGATTAGCTATCCCCCTCTTATTCTGGCTTTCTGCAGTTTAGTCCACCGATATGGCCCTTTACACATATACCCATGCATATGTAGTGTAGCTCCTTGCTTGCGAGTACTTTGGATGAGTACTCACGGTTGCTTTCTCCCCCCCCCCCTTTTTCCCCTTTTCCTTTCTTCTGGTTGTCGCAACCAGATGCTGGAGCCCTGGAGCCAAACGCCACCGTCGACGACGACCCCTACTACACCGGAGGTGCCCCTACTACGTGCAGCCCGCTGACGACGACCAGGAGTAGTTAGGCCTGCGCCTCTTTCGATCTGTATGCCAGTTTGTGCTAGCCTTCTTAAGGCAAACTTGTTTAACTTATGTCTGTACTCAGATATTGTTGCTTCCGCTGACTCGTCTATGATCGAGCACTTGTATTCGAGCCCTCGAGGCCCCTGGCTTGTATTATGATGCTTGTATGACTTATTTTATTTGTAGAGTTGTGTTGTGATATCTTCCCGTGAGTCCCTGATCTTGATCGTACACATTTGCGTGCATGATTAGTGTACGATTGAATCGGGGGCGTCACACGAGCATCGAGTGCACTGGAATCGCACATAGGACGGACTAAATAAGCAGAATCCTGCTGCTCGGTGGCAAGGTTGCCACCTTCCAGTGCGGCAGGTGGGTGGCGAGTTGATCCACCAGATACCAAAGTTGAGCCACCGATTGTTTCCTTATGGACAGTGGGAGTCCCAAATACTTACATGGGAATTCAGCCGTCGGGCAGCCCAGCATGTCCCGCACGAGCTGGATCTCCTCTTGATTGCATCGGATTGGGATGGCCGCCGTTTTGCTGAAATTGACGAGCTAGCCCGATGCCCACCCGAACAAGCGAAGGATGAGAGCACAAGCTTCGAGGTCCGGTGCCCTTGGCTTGAGGAATGTGGTGACATCATCTGCATACATAGATAGTCTTTGCTTGAGCCCTGAACGTGCTAGAGGGGCGAGGAGGCCAGTGGTTGTAGCACTAAAGAACAACTTCTAAAGGGGTTCCATGCACAGGATAAAGAGCATGGGAGATATTGGGCCCCTTGCAGCAGCCCGCGTCAGTTGAAGATCGTCTCACCCGGGACCCCATTGACCAGTATCCTTGTTGATGAAGTTGATAGGATTCCGCATATCCATGTGATCCACCTCGGTCCGAAGCCCAATTGAGTCAAAACCTCCAGGAGGAATGGCCACTGAATAGAGTCGAAAGCTTTCGAGATGTTGAGCTTCAGCAATACTGTGGGATCACGTAGTGCATGTAGACGGCAAGCAGTGCATTGCATGAGCATGAAGTTGTCATGTAGCGAGCGTCCGCCGACAAAAGCGCTCTGGTGATTGCCAACGAGGTGTGGCAGCTCTGCGGCCAATCTGGAGGCCAGTACCTTATCTAAGATTTTCAGTACCCCGTGCACGAGGCTGGCCGGCCTGTAGTCCATGAGCTCCACGGCACCTCCCTTCTTGGGAAATAGGAACACTATGGCCTTGTTGATTACGTGTAGGCCAAGCATGTTGCCGCGGCAAAATTGGTCCACATCGCGCATCAGGTCGTTCTTTATGATGGCCCAGCAAGAGGCGTAAAATCTGCTTGTAAATCTGTCCGGGCCGGGGGCCTTGTCCATTGGCATGCCCTTGATGACATGCTCTAACTCCTCCTCCGTGATGGGGTCCTCCAGGTGCGCCAGGTCGCGGCTTGGCAGGTTCAGCTCATCGAGCCTCAAAGCATGCTCACGCTCCGGGGCTTGCCCGAGTAGCTGCGTGTAGTAGTCGTCCACCACCGTCGCAATCTCCCTGTGGCTTGTCAGGACTTGCCCACTGTGCTGCAGCGACACCATCGCACTCCTGCGCTGCCGGTGGCACGCTTGCCGGTGGAACTATGCCATGTTGGCATCTCCTTCCTTAAGTTGCAGCATCCGCGACCTTTGTCTCGCAATCGTCCTCTGCAGCAAAGCCAGCCCTAGTAATTTCCGCTTGAGCAATTTGCGTAATGAGATCTCATCTGTAGTCAGCTCCCGAGAGTCCATAGCCTCGTCCAATCACGCGATCACCTCAAGGGCGATCAAGATTTGCAGCTTCACGTTCCCGATCCAACGGTCACTCCACCTTTGCAACGCCTTTGCTGTGGCGCGCAACTTGTTGTCTAGGGCTATGAATGCATTGCCCGCTGAAGGAACCGATTGCCATGCTGCCTCGACCGTGTCGTAAAAACCTTCAGCCCTAGGCCAAAAAGCTTCGAAGCGGAAGCGCTTGCCCATCACAATATCCGCATTGAGATCAAGAAGCAGGGGCAGGATATTGCCGATCCCAATGCAGTGAGGAGGCAAGTTGGGTGGAGATCCTCCCAGCAACTAGAGGCAAAACACATGATGCTATTGGCCTTCCCATTGCAGTTGCAACACGCAAATCATATTCCGTGCGAAGTGGTGATCAAACACGTACCCCCTAGTGATGCTATTGGCCTTCCCATTGCAGAGTGGGGCAGGTTGCCTTTTTTTTTGTTCCTTCACTTTTCTTTTCTTCCCGCGTCCTAGTTGGTCGGCGTACGTGAGGCATTCGTTTTCTTGTCTTTTCATTCTTTCTGGCTTTGCTAGTTTAACATTGTTTTTTGGTTTTCATGTTTATATTTTATTTTATTTTATTTTCTTATAAGTTTCTTCGTTTTCATTTCATGCTATTTTTACTTCTTTCTTTTCTAAATTTCATTAACATTAAAAAGTTATAATTATTATTTGTATAATTCATAAAAATATAAATTCATGAACATTTTATTAATAACATGTTTTTAGAAAAACAGACATTTATAATCATTCTTTCAAAAAATATGAATTTTTTAAGAAGATATTTTTTTATATATATAAATTTTAATTCATAAAAATCATTTATAATATATTGATGTATGGTCGATCAGCGCATTATGCTTTGTGTCCCAAATGTGATAGATGCAACAAATATATTGCCGGGCCGAGCTGGGCCGGGCTGAGCTCGCGCACTGCAAGCCCGCCCATCTCTGTTACTGTTTTCGTGACTTGAGCAGAAACAGCAATAATAATAGCGCACGAGTTTTAACTCTTTTTTCGCTCTAAAAGAAAACGAGTTTTAACCCTTGTACTATACTCCCTCCTTTCCGGTTTATAGGGCTTATCTTAAAATTTCAGTTTTTTCATTTTATAAGGCTCAATATGGTTGTTCCCCATTATATGTTCAGATTTCAAGGTGCATTAAATCATTGCATGTAAATATTAAAAGAAAATTGACCAATGCATGTACTTTATGCATGCATGCATTGCAATTAATACATTGGTAAACATAATTTTTTGAGAAAAACAAGATCATTAATTAGGTGCTTTTGCAAACTACAGAAAGTATTCCACCACTAATTATCTATCTTGATTGATGAGAATTTTAAATTAAGCTTTATAAACCGGAAAGGAGGGAGTAATAACTCACTGGAAGGAAAGCTGGATCTGACCAAGAAACAGCCTCACATCAGAGGGGAAAAGGCCATTCACCGTCGACAAGGCTAAGGTGTCGCGCACCGAGCCCCACACGTCCGCCCGCGGCCTCCACGGCGGGCCCTGCACGTGCCCGCGCGGCCACCTGGCACCGCGGTGGGCTGCGCGACGACGGACGCGTCCAAGACATCGGCGGGGCCGCCCACCCCCCGCGCCGGATTCGCGTCTTCTCCTCGCTTCCCTCCACCTATAAATAACCCGCCCCCCGCCTCCACACAGAACACCAATCATTTCCTCTTCACTGTCTCTTCTCCTTTTCTGCCTTCCAACCAAAGCCCCATCCCTTGATTCGATCGATCGGGATCCTCCTCTCGCGCGCTTCTAGGACCTGCCCCTCGAAGCTTCTCCTTCTCCTTGGACCCGTGCTTGGTATGGCGCAGACGACTGTGGTGGTGCCGGAGGTGGGCATGACGGCTGCCACGCCCACTGCGTGCCCCTGCCCTGGGTCGCTGTTCCCGTACCCGCCGCCGCGTGCCGGGATGGCCGTGAGCCGCAAGTGCCTGCGGGCGGCGCAGGCGGAGCTTGGCGCGGGGATGCTCAGTGGCCTGGTCGAGTCCATGCGGGCGTCCTCCCCCACGCACGCCAGGGCCGCCGCCGCCCTCGCCGCCGGCGTCGACGACGAGCACGCCGCCTGGATGGCAAGGCACCCGTCCGCCCTGGGAAAGTTCGAGGAGATCGTGGCCGCGTCCAAGGGGAAGCAGATCGTCATGTTCCTGGACTACGACGGCACGCTGTCCCCCATCGTCGATGACCCCGACGCCGCCTTCATGAGCGAGACGGTGAGCCACTCCCCTCCCCTGTTCACCCTGCTTCCTGCAGTAGTTTTTATAGTACCCGCCATGCACCTCTGCTCAGTGCTCACTACCTGCGAACACGTTATTAATTTTCTGATTTGGAATGAGCAGATGCGGATGGCAGTGCGCAGCGTGGCCAAGCACTTCCCGACGGCGATCGTGAGCGGTCGGTGCCGCGACAAGGTACTACACCCGCCAGCAGCACCAGCAATTAATGAACTCCCATTGCCATCGTCCACCACCACCACCGCTGACGAAACGAAGCTAACCGATTCAATTTCGCAGGTGTTTGAGTTCGTGAAGCTGGCGGAGCTCTACTACGCCGGCAGCCACGGCATGGACATCAAGGGCCCAGCCAAATCCTCAAAGTCCAAGGTGAATTAATGCTCCTCTCGCCCATCATCTAATCTACCTAGCCGCTAGCATGGCCGCTCGATCTATCTATCCCCAGCTCCATTTTTGTGGGCACGAATATTCCCATATCTTCCCAAACTAAAGGCATGTACCTTTTGCCCCGCAGGCCAAAGGAGTTCTCTTCCAACCAGCAAGCGAGTTCCTGCCCATGATAGAAGAGGTACGCACCTTCAACCTCGCAACCGCCCACTCATTCGCACCAGAAATCTAGTCTAGTTAGAATAAACTGTTCTAAACTCGAATTCATGCATGGTGCTTCTTCAGGTGCATCAACGGCTGATAGAGGAGACGAAGCACGTAGCCGGGGCCAAGGTGGAGAACAACAAGTTCTGCGTGTCCGTCCACTTCAGATGCGTCGACGAAAAGGTAGGCGACGGACGGAACAGAACGGAAATGGGCGCTGCCACCGCGAATGGCAGCCGCTTTCCTTCCCATTTATAGCTTTATTTATCCCTCCCCACCACCTGTATTCATTCACTTAACCACCGCTAGTGCTGCTACTAGTATAAAATTAAACCTCCCTTTTGTCCCTAGTGGAGTAGTGGGGAGGTTAGTTAGGTTTAATCACTTAACTAGTGACTGATCAGCATCATGATGTGCAGAGCTGGGGCGCGCTGGCGGAGACGGTGAAGGGCGTGATGCGGGAGTACCCGAAGCTGCGCATGTCGCAGGGGCGGATGGTGTTCGAGGTGCGGCCCACCATCAAGTGGGACAAGGGCAAGGCCCTCGAGTTCCTGCTCGAGTCGCTGGGCTTCGCCGACTGCCCCAACGTGCTGCCCGTCTACATCGGCGACGACCGCACCGACGAGGACGCCTTCAAGGTGCTGCGCCGGAGGGGCCAGGGCGTCGGGATCCTCGTCTCCAAGCACCCCAAGGACACCAGCGCCTCCTTCTCGCTGCAGGAGCCGGCCGAGGTCATGGAGTTCCTGCTCCGCCTCGTCGAGTGGAAGCAGCTCTCCAGGGCGCGCCTCAGGCTGCGGCGTCAGGCCGACGCCTGATCCAACGGCCGGACTAATTAATTCACTACGTGTAGCTTAATTAGCTAGTTAATGAATCCCCTGCTCATCCGAACAAAGCCAAAGGCTACGTACGTGGATGGGAAGAAGGAACGTACTATGGCGAACCTGTGGCTGTGGAGCATTGTTGCGCCACATGTTGTGTTCTAATTAACCGCCCTTCTTTTTGTGGGGATGTATACCGTACCTACCGATTATGCATGCATGTAAATTACCTTTGTCCACGTACAAGGGGAGGAACCATGGAATAAAGAAAGAGCAACCTGAGTAAATAGCATCAACAAATGCCTTCTCTGTCCGTGCATCCGCACACCATCATCAAAATTTGTTTCAACTACTACTACACTACAATCCTAGTACAAGGGACATGTTATTCGTAAGTTGTCTCAAAATAGTCAATTCAAATTTCCTAGCCGTTGGATTCAGATCCAATGGCTGCCATACGTCTTATGTCATCCTTTTGCCCTAGTTTCTTCTCGACGTCTTCTTTTTTCCTATTGCTCTTGCCACCGACGTCGGTCGGGCATGCAGGTGTAATGCGAAACGCGCGCCTACCTCGCATGCATTGCAAGGATGATCAGCTGCATGCATGCATGCATGTGATGTGCGCTACTGGTGTCGATAGAGTACACGTACGCCTCCGCGGCTTGCCTACCAAAAACCGAAGCCAGTGGTTTTCCCTTTGCTTGATTGATTGAGGAGTTGCTCGCGCATGCGGCCAACGCTCGGGTTCACGTGATGGCACGCACAACAGCACGCACAGCCCAGCCGTGCAGCGGTGACACGGCATCGTACGTCGTCGTTTGTCCCGTTCCCATGATCTGTCCTGGTCTCCGACGTGGCGGTGCGTGGCTCAAGCCTTGCTAGTTAAGCGTAGTACTCCGTACCTCTGAACAATCGTGGTACCCTCTCGGCTGTTTCCGTTCTCTGTGGGCGCCAACTTTGTTTGCGACCGTAGCTACAAATGTTTGACCATGCTGAGGCCCATCGCTGCCCTGCCCTGCCCAAAAATGTTGTGAACGAGCGATCCTTGTCGCGGCTCGAGTTAGTACTACGGTTTGTCATGGAGCGGGAGGTACGTAGGAGTAGCTAGCACACAGTATAGCTGAAGCAATCAATGCTTGCACCCACCTGCAAACAGAGAAGGGTGCAGTGAGGCCACTTAAGTTTTCTTGGATCGATCGAGCGACTCATCTGGCCACAGCTACTTCTGCTGCTGCAGATGAATGAATCATTTGGATGGGACTCCTCGGATCGACCCACCTACCAAGAATCCAAGATGGATCGGAACGTGGAAAATAAATGTCCAAGAACTGAACCTCGTACTCTTGGTCTTGGATGCCAAAACCTGTCAGATTCGCTCCTCCCTGCATCGACAGTCAGTGGGGCGAATGGCGAACCACCATGCAAGCAATCATGGATGGGATGCACCTCTTGGAGACCAATGATTTAATCCGTTTTACTACCATCTTTTAGTATAGATCCTTCCGAAGAATCGGAAGCATGCGTCCACCAATACTGGACGAAGCAAGTGCGGCTAGCAATACACAACACACGCAGCGATCAATCATCAACGGCGATATTTGCCAGTAGTAAAGGCGCACTAGATTTCGCCTGATGGCGAGGCGATCCAATCTCGCACCACCATTGGCCAGCCCCACACCAGAAAAGAAGAAAGAAAAGGAGACGGTAGCAAAGCAAGCGAGTGGTGGAATCTAGGATAATATACAATGCATGTCGATCGATACATACATGTTTCCTGTTTTTTTTTACCATTTGAGGATAATATCTGTGCATGCACCTGCGCCCAGCCCCATGAAAGGGAGGCGCCACCACTTGCGCGCTGCGGCCACGAGAAGCCAAAGGGAATCTACAAGGAACACGCGTGATGATGATGATGTGCCTGCCTCTTCGGCGAGGAGTTGGATTCCACATTGGGGATGGCGACCCTAGAATGGCTGCAATTCCTTTTCGGCCCGTTTGGAAAGATGATGGCGCAGTGGGTGAATTTGGATGGGTTTTGGTTGGCCCATGGGTGGCCGATGCCGACTTGGATATTTTAGATGGTAAATTGGACTGCCACATTGTTTATGTCCGCGCAGAAACAGAGATGCATATATCTGCAGTGATTCTTGAGAGGACATGGACGGCATGTTTGGCGATTTCCTTGGAGGTTTGGATGGATATGGAAAATGATCCAAGATCAAGAGAGCGATAGATGCTCATCGGAATGGATTGGGACCGGTTCCTGTTCGTCCCAACAATGCCTTTGGCAATGCATGAATAGCTGGAGCATGCAGGTGTACATTATCTGCAACGGGTCTCGTCTCATCGAGGTCGCTTGTTTCCAGGGGGTTCATGGAGAAATGCGTCCTCCATGTGTTAGGGTTGGTCACTAGAGGCTTCCCGGGGTGATCCGCCTTTTCAAAGAAAAACGGCTGATCATGCGCTCACTGTTAACTGACGGGAAAGCGGTGCACATACAAATCCATCCATCCAGCTCGTCCAATCGTTCTATCCATCTAAACGTATAATCACCAAAAGGGACCATCTACAGATGTAGTCTAAGACCCTACGAACGAAGGTCTATCAGTTATCACCAAGTCTTTATCTTCAAGTAATTATCATCAAGATAAACATGCCATGGTCACGGATAGTTAGCCTAAAGTTTGAGAGGACACGCAGATGGGCCAACACATACGTAGGTGGCTAGGTAGATCAAATCAGGGTGGCCCTTCATCATAGCAAATCATGCATCTATGATGGTGTGTTAATTTAAGTGCGCTGGTTTGCCTTTACGTAACATTGCATATATTCTTTCTGCGGGGAAGTAACATCGCTTATAGAACTGCTAAAAACAATTGCATATACTTATCTTTAGCGATAATCCAGTTCGGAGCCCGGGCTCACATGAGCCCGATGGACAACACAATCGCCAAAAATGGAAAAAAATAATCTGAATTATTTTTGCAAGCAAGATGTGCATGTGCGTAATGTTCGTGCAAAATTTAGTGACATATGGACATTTCAGGCGCGCGCAGCAAAAAAGACAAATCCAGGCATGAGCGCTACTGCTTTTGAAATATTTTTCTCAGACCTGATTTTGTTTTGCCACGAGCTCCTCGAATGTCCAAATGTCATCAAAATTTGCACAAACATCACGCGCTCAAGCATCTCTCACCACATTTTTTTGAAAAAAATTGTTTGATATTCTAAATGCATTTACTGTTCACTCCGGGCTCGTTCAAGCGCGGGAGTCAAAACGCCGCTCTCTATCTTTCGTCTTTCGTCTTTGTTCCATGAATTTGGTTTTCCTTCAGATGAGAAGGCGGGTATAAATTTTCCTTTTAGATGAGGAAGACACCCTTGGGGATCCACCCACAATCATCGATAACGAAACTAGATTCACGAAACAAAGAAGAAAGATACTTCCATATGTGAAGTCTACAAATCAGTACTAAACGCAAAAACTAATTATCCGCCCATGCTAGTGAACAAGCAAATTATTGCTGAAATTTTTGAGAATTCAACTGAATGCTAGGACAACTTTGACAAGAAACTTGGTCATTCCCCTGCCAAGTTCATTTGCCATGGATGCTCTTTCATGCGGTACTGGGCACGTTTGCAAAATGAGGGTGAGCAAACTGAATAGGGAGCGGCGACTGTAGGCGGCGGCTTTGGAGCTCCATAAGAGCATCTACAACCGGGTGTCTCAAACCCGCCTCATACGCCCGGGTGGGCCGCCCGGTCACTGTCCAGTCATGAAATTTCGACCCAGATAGTGTCTCAAACGGGCCACAAACGCCCAAGCTAACCGGCACCCCTCATATCCAGCCCAAATATGGGGCACATATGGGGTGCCCAGGCACGCCCGCCACGTCGGACCCGGTAGCCCAACCCCACCACAAATTGCACCAAATCCAACCCCCAGGCCTCTCGGATCCATTTGCTATCTCCTCTCTTCTTCCTCCTCCGCGTCGTCCGTCTCGCAGCTCCGCAGCCATTCCTAGCCTTTGCACGGGCAGCTCCGGCAGAGCAGTCCTCGCCCCGGGGGACGTCTTCGTCGGCGCGGACGCCACCACGATACATCCGGCAACTCTCTGGCTCCGCTTTGCACTTCATGTGTTCGACACATTGTCTAACTGGATTTTTGTGATTTTATTAGGGTAAACGATGGATTCCGGTGCTTTGTCGGACGAGGAGTATGGTCCGATGAAGCTTGATCAAATGATTCAAGATGAGTTATTTGATTCCTCGGATTTGGACGAAGAAGTGGACATGATCATGCTCATGAGCATGCAAGCGGGAATGGACCGGCAAGTGGAGCATAATCTCAACTTCAAGGGCTCAATCAAAGGGAGAAGAGTGATCAATCGGGATGGGGTGTCCGGAGAAAAGCTACTGCACAGGGATTACTTTGCTCCCAAGCCTACTTTCCCGGACGATCCATGGTTTCATCGCTGTTTTCGCATGCGGAAACCGTTGTTTTTCCGCATTGTGGAGGGAATAGAGGCACACGATGACTACTTAAAGCTCATAAAGGATTGCTGCGGACAATCCTCTTTCTCTGCCAAGCAGAAGTGCACGGCTGCTTTGAGGATGCTAAAAGCAGTGGCATCACATGACTTATGTATTTGGCATGTTTTATTTGGAATGCCAGCTTTTCACAACGACATCAACGTGCTTCAACGATCTCCGGTGTTCAGGAGGCTTTGCAACGGGGAATCACTGCGGTGCAACTACACCGTTAACGACCGAGACTACAACATGGGATACTATCTTGCCGATGGCATCTATCCTCAGTGGTCGGCGTTTGTGAAGACCATATCCGAGCCGCATGGTAAAAAACACAACCACTTTGCAACAATGCAGGAAGCGGACAGGAAGGATGTGGAAAGGGCATTTGGTGTGCTTTAAACTCGTTGGGGAATTGTGCATGGCGCTGCAATAATGTGGGAATCAGAAACTTTGTGGCAGCTGAT